GGAGGGGATGCCTGGCTGATTCCATCAAGATAGCATGTGACTCTTGATATCAGGGTCCTGAGCTCAAGTCCCACCTTGAGCATAGAACTTACTTAAAAAAAAAAAAAAAAAAAAAAAAAAAAAAAAGAGTTGATGGGGATAAAGAGATAGGCCAGGTGACCAATGGAGAAAGAATCTTTGATGGAAATTAAAAGCTAGGAAATGATCAGAACTAAATTTAAGGACAACACTCCAGGGAAGTATGATATAATGTTCCTAAAACAATTGGACGTTTAATTGGCCAAGGTAAGTTTCCAGAGAAGTTATGTCTTTGTCCAAAAAAGACACACTGACCTCTTTCAAATGAATGGCTTGGTCCTTTTCTCAGCAGTTGTTGTCCTTGAAGACAGGACCACCAACTGAGGGAAGGTGAAGAAACCTATACTCTCAGAGAGCCCACCTGGACATTATTGAGAGAGTACTTGAGAACCCATGGCCATTATCCTTCAATCAAATGCATGTTACATAGGGTACTTCAAGCTCTACCGTCAGTAAACAATGCAGAGCCCAGGAAAGGGCAGTAGGCAATCGGAACTACATATCTACATATCACAGCAATCATGAAATAATTGACCCAGAAAGCATTTTAATATAACTTTATAATTATTTATATATTATATATTATATATTAATAAAATTTATATATAATATAAATTTTATAATTTAATAGTCCTTCATCCTCAAATGTCAACTTTTGTCATAATTATTCTCCCAATCAGCAATTTTCTTTCAATATAATCAATATATTGTTTCAATATAATCTTGTTTTTCCAAATGGATTTGTTATTTTTTAAATAAATTTCACTTATTTAATTTTTTGAAGTGGTGGCACATTCACATAGTCCAAGCATCAAGAAATACAGAAAGATATATACATATATCAATGTCTCCTTTCCACTCCTGCCCTCTATTTGCCAAGTTCCCAAAACAAGTAACCAACATCATTTAGTCTCAAGAGTTTTAGAAAGTATACACAAGCCAGTACAAGGATAGATAACTTTTCTTTTTTTTTTTTTTTCCACCCCAATGGCACACTATTTTGGCCATTTTTTCCCTATCTAAAAGTAAATCTTGGAGATTGTATTAATCAGCTTGAGCTGCCATAACAAAACCCCATAGATTAGATGGCTTAAACAACAGAAATTTATTTTTTCACATTTCTGGAGACTGGAAATCTGAGGTCAGGGTGCCAGCCGTGGTTGGGTTCTGGTGAGAGCTCTCTTCCTGGCTTGCCGAGGGTCCCTGAAATGTTAAAGACAAAAATATCACAAGAAAGAGACAGTAGGTCTTCTAGTGTCTCTTATTATAAGAGCAGTGATCCCACCTTCACGACCTCATCTAACCCTAATTAGTCCCCAGATACCATAACATTGGGGATTAAGGCTTCAACATATGAAATTGCATTGGGGGACACAAACATTCAGTTTATAACAGAGATCTTTCCATATAAGCATATCTTTCCATATAAGCATATAAAGAACCTCTCTAGTTTATTTTCTTTTATAGCTGCACAGTATGCTACTATTACAACATACATCTTTAATATTGCAACTAGGAAAAATAAAGCTGTCCTTAATCATTCTTTATTAATAGGATCTGTAGAAATACAGTAAGACGACATGAGCCCTAGAGACTAGGATGATATTTCTGATGAGTTCACTTCTAAACTGGAATTATATGCTGATGACTGCTGGAAATGTATCAAAACTTAAATAATATGCTTAATGCACATTTGTTAGCCCATCAGTAGATCCTCAAAACTTTAGCTTTCTAAATCAAATATGGTTGAAATGTTATCCTCATATGAAGTTATTCACTTGAAGGTGCAAATTCCATCAATGAAACACGTAGCTATAAAATGTATTTTTTAAGGTCAATGCTTATAGACAACGGTCAGCTTACCTCTGACTGTTACCTAACTAGACATGTTATACAGGCCATTCTAAACATGTTAGTGTATTTTTGGTTTTGAGAAAGGTATTTGTGTAGAAGATTTATTGATCTTTATGAATAAAGAGCAAATCGTTATTCAGTTCAGAAGAGGGAAAGAATCAAGAATGAGGAAGAGAAAAAACAAAAGTATGGCCACAAAATACTTCTGGACAACCTTACTAAAAGCAGAATAATAGACTGTGTGCTGTTCCAGCCGCCTGAACTATCCCTGCCTGAAGAAAGAGAAGGCAGAAGAGAGAGACAGTGAACAGAAGGTAGGTGAACAGAACAACATGTTCTTAAAAGTATAGCTTAAATTGGAATCACGGATAAAAGAGCAAGGAATCAAAGAGGGAACCAAGGTTTCAAGCCTAGGGGAGTGGGTAGAAAAGTGACACTGTTGGCTGAGATAGGGTAGAAGGTATTTAGGATGGGGTGAGAGTCTATTTTATATACCTTATGTTTGGGGGCTGATGAGATCATTATCAGCAGACATTTAACACATTGAAGGGAAGAGAGAGATCTGGGATTTTTTCAAGAAGCACTTATGAGTGGGGCACCTGGGCGGCTCAGTGGGTTAAAGCCTCTGCCTTCGGCTCAGGTCATGGTCTCAGGGTCCTGGGATCGAGCCCCACATCGGGCTCTCCATGCAGCGGGGAACCTGTTTCCCCCCCTCTCTCTGCCTGCCTCTCTGTCTACTTGTGATCTCTGTCAAATAAATAAATAAATAAAATCTTAACAAAAAAAAAAAAAAAAAGAAAGAAAGAAAGAAGAAGAAGTACCTATGAGAACAAGAGAGAAGAGGTGTGGTGAGAAGGAACCAGGACAGAATGATGGAGACCACTCACATTCAGAGGTAGAAGGAAACAGATGGGCATTAAAAGAGAGAGAAGAGTAGTCAGAGAAACAGAAGGTGAACCAAGGCAGTGAGTTGCAAACACCAAAAGAGGAGGGCAAAGTCAAATGTGCCATGTGCTGGAAGAAGGGTCAACAAAGATATGGACACCTCCCTCCCCAAATATGTTAGGAGACATCATATTTTAAGACATTAAGTAATGAGTTGAATAGTGAGAAAGTAAACTAAAACAATGCATTACATTGATAATCTTTTGAGATGACTGTGAATATAGGAAAACAATGTTATTTCATATTTTTATTCCACTTTAAAAACATAGAGTACTTCCACATATATTCCCTCTTTTGATGATATCATTAGGGGATAGTCCTGTAGGTAGATATGTGGAGAAAGATGCAGTGGAGAGAGGTAATCCAAGATGTAAATAGAAGTTGGAGTATTGTATAGTGTTAGTTTCTTAGGGAGGTGAGAGAGGAAAGAATTTAGTGCTGGAAAAGAGTAGTGGGTAATGATGTGGGAAACAAAGGCAGAAGGAAATGTAGATCAAATTAAATGTCCCTGTAACCTGCAGCCCAATGACAAATACTTGAGGCAGCAGAGTATAATGTCTTAATGTTAATCCTTTGCTAGAGGGAGAAAACCATCTTAGTTTGACAAAAGCAAGGCCTCCTGCATCCTGTGTCTTCTTTAGCACATGAAAACCTTTTGGAACTTCCTTTATCTTTAATTCTCCAGCCCCAAAGTATATAATCAGCTGTCCTTCATAAACCCCAGGCAGCAGTGGGGGAGCAAGGAAGCAGGGTGGGGGGGGTGGTGGCAGCAGCTCTCTCTGCCCACAGGTCCTGTCCCTGTGCTTTAATGAAACCACCATTGTGCATTGAAGTCATCTCAAGAATTCTTTCGTGGGGCGCCTGGGTGGCTCAGTGGGTTAAAGCCTCTGCCTTCGGCTCAGGTCATGATCCCAGGGTCCTGGGATTGAGCCCTGCATCGGGCTCTCTGCTGGGCGGGGATCCTGCTTCTCCCTTTCTCTCTGCCTGCCTCTCTGCCTACTTGTGATCTCTGTCTGTCAAATAAATAAATAAAATATTTTAAAAAAAAGATTTCTTTCTTGGCTGTGGGCTCCAGGCCCCACCAAACCTCACCTATATATTCCAAAAACTACATCAGGTAAGAGACAACATTTCGAAGTAAAAATAGCTAAGAAAGATTTTTTATTAAAAAGACCTGAAAGTGGGGCCCCTGGGTGGCTCAGAGGGTTAAAGCCACTCTCTGCTCAATGGGGAGCCTGTTTCCCGCCCCCCCCACCTGCCTCTCTGCCTACTTGCGATCTCTGTCTGTCAAACAAATAAATAAAATCTTTAAAAAATAATAAATAAAAAGACCCAAAAGTAAGCAAGGTAACCTTGAACTGAGGGCCCAACCGACAGGAGAAATGTGAAACAAGTGGGGGAAATGCTGACGTTGGCATAAAAAGTCAAAACACTGGATTTGCACCCAGTCACAAGCTCTCCAGATCTCTAATATAATACCATGTCCTCCCACAAATGTAATGGTGAGAGGACACTGAAGTACTGGGGCCAAGAGCAAACAGCTCAATGTCTTTTTTTTTTTTTTAATTAATTAATTTATTTGAGGAAGACAGGCAGGGGAGGGGCAGAGGGACAGAACCTTCAAGCAGACCCCACTGAGCATGGAGCCCAACACGGGGCTCAGTCCCAGGACCCTGAGATCATGACCTGAGCCAAAATCAAGAGTTAGATGCTTAAATGACTGAGTCATCCAGGCACCCCAACAGTTCGATGTCTTAAGTAACTCCAGCAGAGATTTTTTTTTTTAAAGATTTTATTTATTTATTTGACAGACAAAGATCACAAGTAGGCAGAGAGGCAGTCAGAGAGAGAGAGAGGAGGAAGCAGGCTCCCTGCTGAGCAGAGAGCCCGATACGGGGCTCGATCCCAAGACCCCGGGATCATGACCCGAGCCTAAGGCAGAGGCCTTAACCCACTGAGCCACCCAGGTGCCCCTCCAGCAGAGATTTTAAGAGAAGTTCCTCCACTGAAGAACTCAATTTAGAAGTCTGCTTTGGATTCCCACCCCCAGCCCACTCCACAGGAAGCAAAAGCATTAAGCAAACTGTTAGAAGAGTGCATTCCCCCAGGACTTTCTCATACAACAGGATGTTGGTCTGTGTCAGCCTCCAGTCACCCTCTTTAGAGAGTTCTGCTTTTTGTAAGACAGTACCCAAGTGTTTACAAGTCTCTCTATTAAAAGGCACGCATGTTAAGAAATAAATTTAAGTTTTTACTCTATGAGCTAATACATTGGGATATTACCCCATCTTCCTGGCTTGGTGTCTGGTTGGGGAAGGAGTACACAACCTCCGCTGATCCAGTGTAAGTCATTCTTGAGACAGTTTATAGGATGGAGCCAAAGGGGAAGAAATCTTCTTTCTTTGATGGTAGAAGGGCTGCTAAGATGAAATGAGAGACCAAAGCAACTAGAAGCCATGTTCCCCATGGCATGGAGAAAACTATCTGCAAAGAGAACCAGAAACACAGGTCAGAAATAGAGAGTATAAACCTGAAAAGTGTTCCTGATGCTGACTTCAGACATCTCCAGCCCCAGTTCCCTACACTTGGGTTTGGGTTACACCAGTCCATAAATTCTCCTTTTTGTGTGGGCAAGTTGGGATTTTGCCACTTGCAACCCAAAGTACCCCAGCTTGTACACAGAATACCTTACACGTCTACGGTGTTCAATACATAGATATCGATTATCTGATTGCTTCAGTATTCCTGATTTTTCTGTACCTTTTGCATTTTTTGTGTGTCCTACAACTTCATTCTCAGTGAGGCTTGATCAAAGGTAAGGCTGCAATTTTCCAGTAATAATTGGGAGCCCCAGTTCCCCGAAGTTGGCCAAGGCCATTTAATATGTCTGTGTTTCAGTTTCCTAATCTGGAAAATATGGCAAATAATAATAGCATCTAGTTATTTCACACCTACTTTAATCCAAGTACTGGCCTAATGCTTAATATGCATTATCCTAGTTCCCATGGCAACTTTGTGACATCTGCATAATGATCCTCATTTTATAGATGGGGAAGCTGAGATGCCATGAGCTTAAATGAACTGACCAAGGTCATACAGCTTGAGTGACAGAATTCTGACTCATATCCAGGTTTGCCTGAGCCTGTGCTCTTTCCAGTGTCCTGTGATGCCCTACTTATTCAAAAAGCTTTTGTGTGTATAGTAAGATAATGCAGGTACAATTGCTCTAAAAATAAAAAGAGATAAAAAATCATTCTCCCATTGACAATAAAAAATGTGGAAGTGGGCCCAAGTATTAAGGAGGAAGATTTAGGTTTAGAACATTCTGACTACCCCAATTATGGCATTAAAACAGTAACTGAAAAATAAATGATGGATCTCATATAAACAAAAAATTTTTATGAAAAGAGAAAGTACAGCCAAGATTCTGTTCCATTTCTGAAGCCTCAATAAAATTCCAAAAGACATAAGTAAGTAAGCATTGCTAAGCTAGAGACCTTTCTAATTTTCTTCATTGAACCATCGATATGGAGGCCCTGGCATTTCCTCTGTGGCCCTGTTAACGAAGTTCCTTGTAAAATATGAACATTTTCACATACAGACCTGGATGGCGCTATCAGTGGCATTTAAAATGAACAAACCTATAGTCATGCTGTCTATGTACCATTGAAGTACACGCAAACCCTATTTTTGTAGAAGTTTACCTGGAAAAAGGTTAAGACCAAGCCTATGTGTTAAATGATGTTTCATAGCAAAACATTTGTGTTCCTCAAGCTATAACTATTTTTTTAAATTTTTAAAATATTTTTATTTATTTATCTGACAGAGAGATACAGCGAGAGGGGAAACACAAGCAGGGGGAGTGGGAGAGGGAGAAGCAGGCTTCCCACTGAGGAGGGAGCCCAATGTGGGACCAACCCCAGGACCCTGGGATCAGGACCTGAGCCACCCAGGTGCCCCTTAAAGCTTCTATTTTGTTGTAATTTTCAGTTTAGAACATTTTCAAAAAGCAACTAATTAATAAAAATATCAAAATGTACTAATACTCATTTAATCTGAAGCCAACTATTGAAATGTATTACTGTAAACAAAATGAAAAACCCAAAGCAGTGTAGAAGCCCAACAAAGTAGCAAGATAACTATTTTAAATTTTAAATAATTAATATTAAATAAATAATAAATTTATTATTTAATAATATCAGACATTGATATAATTTTGAACAAATGTAGCACACCTCTTCAATAATGAAATTTAAATATTTTCTTTTTAAAACTCTAACATTCCAAGAACATCAGCTCATTAGGTAGATACTTTTAAAAAGTGGGTTTATACTTATAACTGCATGATCATTGACTATAACAACTGAGTTAAACACATGCCCCAAATGCCAGACCTGATGCTGCCTTCTGCAACATTGCTTTTAGAACTCAACATCTCTCCACTATTGTTTTCAGAGACATCTTTTTAAAATGGGAAATTGATTGATGAAATCTTAGCCATGAATAAATGCTAATGCATACAATAAATTTAAATGCTGTCATTTTATAGAAAGGCTTATTGGCTAACTGTGTTATTTCTCCTAGAAACTCAAAGTCTTGTGTTTAATTTACAGAATGAAATGCAGAAATCAGTTATTCAGCTCAGAGTATGACAAACCTGCTTCTCAAAGTTATACTTTGGGAGGCAACCAGACTGAATTATTCACTGACTTAAAACACAGAATGTCATAACCAAGAGTTTTTCCACTTCAAAATGTATCAAGCAATGTTCAAACTATGAGGAAGTATTTTTGTATTGTCTGGTCAGTGCTGTGTGCAAATTAATATCTGCATAACAATTCAGACTCACCCTTCCAGAAAGGATTTCATACATATAAAGGAGTGCTAGTATTTATGGGATGGACGTTTACCAGAATTGCTCTTAAAGGCTACATAATAAAAGTGCATTAACATTGTCCAAATTAATTAACCATAGATACTGAAATGGATTCAGCTAATGGATTCTGCCTCTCCAGAGAGTGCCTCTTTTAATCATAAAACAAAAGCGAAAAAACATGTTCTTCCTCCCTTTTTTCATAACATGTAGCCATCTGACCAAGAGCGGGAGTGGGGGTGGGACTGCTCGCACCGTCCCTGAGCCAGCAAGCGGGAGCGGTCATCTAGTGACCAGACACTCTGGCTTCTCTCTAAGCGCAAACAGACTGGCTCAGCATCTGTCACGTCCTGCTCCCCTTCGAAACAGGAAACCAGTCTAGAGTTTCACGCTTACCTTCTGCCTTGCATTACCAAACTGGCAGGCTTGCCAGATCCTTGAAAATGCCCGTTATATATGAAGGTCATGAAGATTTTGAGGGATTGGTAAACAGGATGGGATTTATGTTTGGGACAGGGCATCAGCGATCTGGTGTCTATTGGAGGGCTGTAAGAGAGAGAGATGAAAGAAGCACATAAGAGTGGAAAACACACAAAGTCATGTGGTCCATCTCATGCCAGTGGGCAGAATCACATCCCCAAGCACAGCTGAACCACTAAGGGGTCTTGTAACGAGACTACTAGTTACCCAAAGGCAAATAACGGGGAGCTTCAAAGGTCTAGGTTGTGAACTCACAAATGACAGTGGTTCAACTTGCTTTTCAATCAGACAAGACCCCATTTTCCCCAATGTTTCCCACACCATGTCCCGCTTTGGCCCTCTTACTGCGCATTAGCAGTTCCAGCAGAGGGCAGGCCGGGGAAAGGAGAAGAGACATAAGTCAGAGCAAATGATCTAGAGTCTTCTAAACATGTTAAGGTAAATTTTCTCAATTACTAAGAGCAACAACGGTCCTTTTGTGGTTGTTTTTATTTTTGCTGCTGTCTATCTGTCTATATAAGGTATGATCAGTTTCCAGATCTCCTCTCTCAAGGAATTTATGGTCTGGTTTGGGAAGGCAAGATGAAGACACATGACATAGTGAGAAAACCATGCTCTAAAGCCACCCCAAGCAAACTCAAGTAAAGTCATGATTTCAAGAGAAGGAAGATCTTTGTGTGCTGAAGCTGGTGATAATATACGCAGATTGAAGGTATAAACTGAAGTAAATAATTAGTGCAGAGAAGTGAGAATCAATGTCTGCGCAGATGCAATTGTTGAAAATTCCCTGAACAGGCTTGGGTGACAGCCCCATAGAGAGGACTTGCAGGCATCCTGTTTGGTTTGTGTGGGACAGGTCTCCTCGGAGCTCAGCACCAGGCTTTCTGTGGTGATCGGCCAAAGTGAGGGGATTGGTTGGCATGTAGGATGGGTTGGCATTCCTGGAGGAAAAATATTCGGTATCTTTCCATATCATTCATTAAGGTCTGTGTGACAGTGTCATGAGCAACTCGCTGTGGGGAGGTCTCCATCAGATAAACAGGGCTGCAAAATTCATAGCCAAAGAATGTGGACTGGAGAGGCACTCCCAGCTCCAGCTGCTACCTGAACACCCAGGACTGGCTGAGAACCAAGGAGACATGCTGAAACCAGGAGCCTCGGCGACGAATGGCAATGTTACAGCCTCTTAATCCTGAAATGAAAAGTAATTGCTCCTGGCTTAAAGAATAAAGGAAAAACAAGATCAGCCTTGGCTGAACGACATTTTTTTTCCCAAAAAACAACCATGCTGTAGACCAGGTTCTAAAACCTGCCTGGTATTTAAAAATGTGAAGAAATGGATGTTTTCTGTCAATATAATTTAAATCCATCTAGAAGTACTGATATATAAGAACACTTGAATGCAAATACATTTTGATTAACATGATTAAATCAAATGTGTTTACTTTCAGCTCTAAGGGATGACATCTAAAATTAACTTACCTAAATATAATTTTAGAAAGTCAGTCTTCAAAATAGCTGCTTCTTTCTTTCTTTCTTTTTTCTTTTTTGAAGGATTTTCTACTGAAAAGTCTCAGCAGAAGCTACCAGGGCTCCTTTTTGTACAGCTGAAGCTGCAAATGGAGAAATATGGAAGGAGGGGGAGGGGAAAGACATTTCAATACTTGTAATACATTCCCGCGATGCAATTGTCTTCTCTATAGAAAAAAGAATTCATAAAAATTCATAAAGGAACTGCTGCAAGTCTAAATTATTGTTAGAAGGATCTAAAGGTGACTTTAACTCACGACTGAGTAAGTAATATTCTTATTTTTTACTTGTTTACCTCTCAAGGGGCTACAAAATGACAAATGTCAGATTTTCTGTATATAGAATTTTCATTTCCTTGAGAGCATGAAGGCAACGAGAAAAAGTAAAAATACAGCAAGTGTGAGAACAAATGAATTTTGCCTTTCAAGTTTCAATTTCTAAATATATGTATTAATTTAAAACATTTGTGGCAGACTCACAATGATATAGAGAAAACTAATTAAAATATTTCTTGCTTCCTAGAGCCATATAAAATTGCCTACATAAAAAGCCATTTCACATGGTTTCACCTAATATCATAAGCCCTTGCAGGAGGATCATCAACCAATAATAACCAGTAAGGAAGAAAACCCAGTTTGTCTCCCTAAAATCATTCTATGCAAATACTAATATTAAAAAACGAATATGACACATGCTATCTTCCTGCTGGTGCTAACATTGAGGACATTCCTCACAGAAAAACCACGGCTGCTCAGTCATTATTCACAGCATGCATTTCTGCCTCATTAATTCAAAACAAAACAAAACAAAATAATCCTTATACCAGATGTTTTTTTTGGATACCACCGGTTTTTAAATTTCATTTAACCTGCGCCACAACACTGACAACTGTGTCCACTTTCACGTGAGCTCTAGCCAGTGGATAGCTGCAAGGCCAGCCACAGACCCAATAACTTGACACACCGTCCTCACAAACATGAGAGCATTTTTTAAAATGAAAGGTGTCACACAGCTCATGAGGTAAAACAGCCGTGAACAACACCGAGAATGCAAAGAATATCCACAGTCGATGAATTGTGCTCTCTGTGAGAATGTGATACACAGCCAGTGACCCTGAAAACCACAATATTTCCAGAGATGAAGGACTATGGTACTTAGGAACACTTTGGATAAAAAAATAATTTTTTTTTTTAAAAGGCAGTCCTTTTTATATCAGTACTCTGTCATTCTATGCCAGGAAAGGGTACCAAGTATGAAGATGGCCCCAATTTGCTTTTTATGCTCAGCGTGATTCAGATATGAGCAGGGTTTCTAGCCCCATCATAAGGAAACCTCCGACAAGCTTTCTATTCTTACAAAACATGAGAATGCCCAAAGAAAATATGAATTTAAAGTCCAATGCAAACATATATTTTAACGGGGATACATAGTCGTTGCGAATGTTGAGGGGATTAGGAAGTGTATGGAATGTTGTTCACAGCAGTTTCAACCCCGATATGTCACCAGTAGATTCAAGGCAGTTTCGGTTTTCTATGTAAAAAAGTTAAAATTACAAAAGTGTAATCTGTCATGTCAAATATTATTAAATCATCAATGACACGTTTTCTTTAAACCCCCTTACTCCAATACCAGATGACCTTGGGAGGAAGCAAAGGTCTTTCTTTGCCTAGAGATTTCAATTACAGACTCACTTTTTAGTATTAGCATTTTGCTTTCTGGAATTACTGACAATTCAAATATAATTTTAACATCCCCCTGGGTGAACTAAGCCCCCCAAGTGCCTGACAACTTGCTTTCTGAAAAGAAATCTATCTCTTCAAATTATACCTCATAAGATGTGAAGCTTAATGAGATTTTAAAATACAGACTTAATGCGGGTTTATCCTCCTCATGCCCTGGCTAGTATTCATCCTCCCCTTGAAACATCCTGCTCTCCGGATTTCCTAGTGTGAGTTTTGAAGAAATTCCAAGGAATAGCCACTAGGACAGCAAAGGTGACTTTCCTGAAGGATTGCATCACCCAACCCAGAAGGTAGGAGCTGAAATGGACTCCACATACTTCCCAGGTGATTCATGTGATACACACTAAATCTGAGATGCAATGGGGAGATAGCCCTTGTGAGGTATTTGGCAGTGATAAAAGGAAACGTTTATTGGATGCTTACCAAAAAGAGAAAAATATCAAGTATTAGAATTCTACTTGGCCCATGATCTAACCAATGTAAGAGATTAAAGGCACGTATTTAAGGTCCTAGAAATGGACCAGGCCTCAGATTTCCTGATTCCCAGAAAACTGCAATGTTTCCTGAGAACTTAGCTCTATAATTAAGAGTGACACTCATTCAATAACAAGCAAGGAAAAACAAATTTCTATTGATCCACATATCTACCATTTCCAGTACTCTTCATTTTTCATGTTGATCTGAGTTTCCATCTGGTATCACTTCCTTCACCCTGAAGACTTTTTTTTTTTAAGATTTTATTTATTTATTTTGACAGACAGAGATCACAAGTAAGCAGAGAGGCAGGCAGAGAGAGAGGGGGAAGCACGCTCCCTGCTGAGCAGAGAGCCTAACGTGGGACTCGATCCCAGGACCTTGAGATCATGACCTGAGCTGAAGTCAGAGGCTTTAACCCACTGAGCCACCCAGACACCCCTTAAAGTCTTTTTTTTTTTTTTTGAAATTTTTTTATTTTTTTATAAACATGCAATGTATTTTTATTACCCCTTAAAGTCTTAATGTCTTCAAGTACATGTCTACTATCGACAAATTCTCTCAGCTTTTGTTTATTTGGCAATGTTTTTCTTTTTCATTCTTTCTATCTTTCTTCCTCTCTCCCTTCTTTCGTCTTTGCCCTTGCTCTCATTATTCTTATTCCCTTCATCTTTGAAGGATCCTTTCACTGGGTTTCTAATTCCAGGTTAACAGGTTTTCTTTCTTTCCACACTTTAAAGATGTTATTGCATTGTCTTTTGGCTTGTGGAGAAGTCAATTGATAGCTTCCCTAAGGTCTTGTGCAGAATGAGTTTTTTTCCCTCTGGCTACTAGTAAGATGTTTCTCTTGGGTCCCTGGTTTTCAGATATTTGACTACGATGCTCCTAAAAGGGGTTTTTGTCCTTCTTATCTTGCTTATAGTTTGCTGAGCTTATAAAACTCATGGGTTAATATTTTTCATCAAATTTAGATTTTTTTCCAGCTATTTTTCCTGAAATACATATATATATGTATATGTATGTATATTTATATATATATACATGTATATTTTATATATTTATATATACATACATATACATATTATATATATATTTATCCTAGTCACGGTCTCCTCTTCTTCTGGGACTCCAGTTCTCAAATGTCAGGCCACCTCATACTACCCTCCAAGTCAATGAGACTTCAGTTTTTTCTAGCCTTTTTTCTCTGTGTGTGCTTCAGTTTGCATAGTTTCCATGAGCCTTTGTGTCACTAGTTCTTTTCTTCTGTAGAATGCAATTTACTGTTAAGCCCATCTAGTGATCTTTATTTTTCATTTCAGATATTTTATTTTTCAGTTGTAGACTTTCTAGTTGAGTTTCTTTCATTGTTTCCAGTTCTTGACTGAGAACTTTCCTTTTCTCATCTGAATCCTTATTTTCTTATAAATCTTCAAACACATTTGTAAGAACTGTGTTAAAGTTCTTGCTTGTTAATTCCAACATCTCTGTCATCTCTGGATATGTGTAATCCCTGAAGATAATACTGAAAGATAAATAAGACCCAAGTAACAGCAAAACCACTACTTCTGTCTGAGGTCACACATGCCCAACTGCGGGAATTCCGAATCCCTTTCCTGTCACCTGAGAGAGAGTGAGGAGTCAAATGCCCTCTTCACTGCCACTTGCTTGTCCCTGCACTTGTTCGCTGCCTCCTTCTAGATCCCTCATGGCTTAGTCCCAGGGGGAGGCAGATTTTCACATCAGGACCTCTCTGAGATGTTGTTCTCTGGGTAACACCATTGCTCCTACCACCCCCACTGCCATCTCGTCTTCAGTGCTGCAGCCGCTGCTCCTGGCCAGGCGGCTTTCCATCACTGCTCAGGCTGGCATGAAAGAGCCTGTCTTGCTGCTTCTCCTCTGCGTGTTCCAAATGATGGTCCTGCCTCTCCTGCTTCCTCCTGCCTCTCTCTGCCGAGCTCTGGGGAAGCCCCGGAGGAGCTGGCTCCTGCGTGCCCTTGTTCCCTGAGCTCTGGTCTGTTTCTCCTCCAGCCAGATTTTCTCCACATCTGCAGCTACTGGTCAGAGGACGGATTTCCCCCTGGTGGTGGCTCTTGTTGAACAAAGATTTGCTAAATTGCTAAGCATTTGCTAAGAACTTGTTATGTGTATAGAATTCTATTGCTTATCAAGAGAAAAGAACTAAACAAACACACAAATTAATAATTTAAAGCCAAATATTGTGTTTTGATGAGAGTCTTCTGTTTTAAAAAGTGGAAATCCACTGAACGCTATAGATGTTCTTTAGTCTGTCTGTAAGTTTCATCAATTGATTTGACAAATATATACTGAGAACATGAAATGTACCAGGTTCTAGTCCCAGTACCAAGAATATAAGATAGACAAGATACCTGATCTCATAGAGTTTAGAATAAACAAATAATACCAGTTACTAGTAAGTACAATATCAGATAGTGCTAAGTAATCTGGAGAAAATAAAGCAGGATAATGGGATAGAAACTAATGAGAGGAAAAATATTGTATAGGGAGTTGAAGGACGGTCTCTGAGAAAGTGACATCTGGGTTGAATGACATAAAGATCTAGGGAAAAAAGACAGCCAGGTAGGGGACAGCAAATTTATAGGAATGTAACGACCTATGTAGCGAATGACAGGATATGAGTTTAGACAGACTAAACAGCCCAGGTCAGGTACTGCTTTCAAAGCTATGGTTAGGAGTTTGGATTTTATTCCAAATAAAGTGGGAAAGACTAAGAAATTTCAACAGGGAATGACATTCTGTGATCACATTGTGAAAATATCAATTTGTGCTGTGTAGGGACTGATTGGAAGGTTACAGGAGTAGAAGACCCAAGAAACACTAGAAGTTAT